TTTAGCATTTCTCTATGCTTTCACAGCTAATATATTTTCGGTTGTATAATCTGAGCTGCTAGAGCTGCTAACTTATGACAGTATGCTGTACAATACAATTGATCATTTCATATAAGCGACATTATACACGTGAATGGTCTGTAAACTAACCAGAATTTGTTCTACTGCGTGTGAGTTTCCCTGCCACGCGGCCTGCATCAGACGCCTAGGAGAGCTGCCGCCACTCGTCACCGTAGCAACAAGTATCTGCTGTATTCCAGGGGATGCTTCATCTAACGCGGTTTTGTTGTCATAGTTACGTAGGGTAACATCAGCACCATGCTTTAGCAGAAGCTGAAGGATCTGCAAGTTAATGAAAGGTGGGATTAATTAAACCAAGAACTATTTACCGACATTAACAAGTAAACAAACAATAAAAAACAACGTGAGATTTTTAAGTATACATGTATTATAGGTGAAACACGATGTCATACCAAAGAAAACTTCCATCAAATCATGACACGCAGTCTGGTTATTTTTTATGCGCTCACACTATACCCCAACATTAAATTAAATGGAATCACACCTTGTGGATTGGTCCACTACTGCTTCACATATAACATGAGGAAGCTGGCAACTAATGCAGAGTACATTATACATACAATTTTACACACAATTGAAGTTAAGACGCTGAACACTAAATTAGTTAAAGAAAATACTCAATACTATTAGCATAAAATACTGGGATACAGTACTTTTATGTGACCTCTTTTAGCAGCCCAGATGACAGCACTGTTCCCATACCGCCGATCTTTGACATCAATGTTCATGGAGCTTTGATCGTGCGGCCGAACGAGAGTCTGTATTCTATCATAGTCACCATCCTGAAATCACATTTTTGTACGATAAATTCAATATAATATTTACTACTACAAATTCACCCCCCCCCCCCACACACACACACACCTTTCTCACCCCAGTAACTTTATTGTAATGTAGATTGTAGACAGAACAAACCGCAGCATGTTATGACAGCCAGATTATCAATGTCACTTGTAATATGTTTAATATATATATATATACATATATATGCCCAGTGCTCAGACATGTGATTTTGAACAATTTGTTTCATGTATAATATACATATGATATATGTATCCTTGTATTGCTCCAAGATGTTAAATTCTAATGAAAATCCAGGTCCTATAATATAATAATCTGTAATCAAATTTGAGCTCTTCATATGCCTTACCCTTGCAGATGCTAAGAAGATCTCATCTAAATTTGCAGACTTATTATTGCGAAAAACAGAAGCTGCAACATCATGGTATGGAGCCAGCAGTCTTTTATTTCGAAAGATCCCAAATGGCAAATCTTTATTCTGCAAGTCAAAACAGTAACTCTATGAGACTACGGTACCTTACTCCATAAATTAAAACATTATTCACCTTGCCAGCAATGGTAAATGACATTACATAGCTCTGAGCAATGAAATTTTGCAGGTTTTTTTCTCTAAATAACTAGAAGCATTTTCGCAGATTAATTACCACCGGTATGGAGATATCGGGTCTAACCATTATAAGCACTAGCTATACCAATGATCTAATGACTACTACATATAGGTAGACCAAGCTAACTTAGCATGTTCCAACATAGCCACAAGTTCCCTTCTCGCTTAGTCCTACGACGTGTAACAGTCGGAGAGCCTGGTCGGTTTAGTTCCAACATAGCTCTAGAACTAATACTATAGCCCTCCGCTCCTCTCCTGCGGCGGAGCGGAGGGCTATAGTATAGTTCTAGAGCTAGTTCCACCATAGCTTTAGTACTATAGCCATTGTTGCCACAGGCCTGTGACAACAATGGCTATATAATATAGTAGTAGTACTAGACTAGCTACTACTACTACTAAAGCTAAATTCCAAGAGCACCACCCCATCTTTAATCTTACCTGTTTTGTGTGAATAGAGGGCATTCCAGTAATGCTGGTATTTGAAAGTGGTCTGTCTGTGCGTTGCCTCATCACACTACTAATAAGAAGAATGATCATAATTACATCATGTTCTGCTATAGCTCTAGGACTATATAGCCCGCGCACAGTTGCCTGGTCCTAGAGCTAGTTCTGCTATTGCCAATTCACCTCGAAAATTCGACATTATTGCGACACCAAACAAGCCACACGTTTTAATAGTAATATTAATAACAATCTAACCCAATCAACAATCCTTTTTTTACAAGAACAAGTTGAAGAAGAACCATAGATATAGAATACAGATTGTATTCTATAGGCCCCTATCTATGGAACTTGGGCTGAGAAGGTCTATGTCCCCCAGGGCCAGAGTACTGCCAGAACGTACCCTGGTACTATCAAATATGCCGGACCGTACCTCGCCTACTCCACTAACGCTGATAGGGTCTATGTCCCCCAGGGTACTGCCGGAACATACCCTGGGTACGGTCCGGTATACCGGAACGTACCCTGGTACTAAATACTACTATCTAATATACCGGACCGTACTTCGCCTACTCCACTAACGAGTCTAGGGAGTCGCCAACGCCTACTCCCTAACCCTAACCCTAACCCTAACCCTAACACTAACCCTAACCATATCAGCTAGATAGTTACCAGGGTACGTTCCGGTATACCGGACCGTACCCAGAGTACGTTCCGGCAGTACCCTGGGGGACATAGACCCTATCAGCTCCACTAACGAGTGTAGGGAATCGCCTACGCCTACTCCCTAACCCTAAGGCTAACCCTAACCATATCAAATAGTTACCAGGGTACGTTCCGGCAACCCTGGCCTGGGGGACATAGACCCTATGAGCGGAACTTGTAGAACAACAAGAGGTGTAGCTGACTGTGTCAGTGTCACTGAGTGTCAGTGTCACGACTCACACTCACACTCACAGTTAGATACAATAATGTAACCCAAACACAGGATAGGGTTTGGTACCGGTAACCTGTTACCTAGCTAAACCCAGCCTAACCCGACCAGGCTGTGTGACTAATGTCAATACACCCTGGTACAATTAATACACCCTGGTACGTCAATACACCAGGTATTCTAACCCTAGCTTTTCTAACCCTAGGCCCTTTCTAACCCTTTTCTAACCCTAGGTATTCTAACCCTAGGTACCCTATTCGAACCTCCAACCGTTTCTTGGAGCTAAACCCAGCCTAACCTAGGCTATCCTGTGAGTCTGAGTGTGTTTGAGTTACATTATGATTATTTATTATATCTAACTCACAGTGTGCATGTGACGCATACATACTTACACTAATCTGTAACTTCTGTATTATAACAACTGGTCAAATCTAAGCAGTAGACACGGCAAACTGATATTAACACACGCATTCTACCAGCAAACATTGAATGTTCTATCATCGATATCGATTAACACACGTGTTGCCCATAGCGAAACCCAAACAAACCACTGCGCCATCTGTTGGGTGAAATTGGACAATTTCGCCAAAGCTTACGGGAAAACAAACCACGTCGGTTAGGGTGTTTCTGTTCCTATATCCAAACCACTACGAATGTCCAAACCAATGTAAATGTTTGATAAAAAGATTTTCTAAGAGATTGGCTAGCCTCAACCAGGAGATAGCTGCCCACCCAGTAAATAGCATCACACTACCCTAATGGAAATGGGGGTTGCTAATGTAATGGGATGGCGCCATCTATCTTCATTTCTTTCACAAATTTTAGTTGCCTGGGACACGACGTGTAAACATTACCGACGATGAACTTATTTGTACAAGAAAATCGGTACGTTTAATAATAAATTAATATAGTCATGGTCTGTACGCGGGCTATAGTACTAATAGTACTACTAGAGTTAGGTCTAACCATTCAGCTAGACACAACAATGACAACAATGTAATCCAACTGAACACGAGCCATGCAGCGTAGGGCTCATGACATAAGCCTCGATCGTCTACACGACGACGCTTAACTCGAGTTACTCGAGTAAAAATCGCGTTAAATCGCGTAACTCGAGTTAGCGATTATGTAGCGTCTACACGTACACGTGCGTGCATGCGTGAGTGCGTGCGTGTGCACGTACATGTGCGTGCATGCGTGCGTGCGTGCGTGCGTGTGTACGTACACGTGCGTGCATGCGTGAGTGCGTGCGTGTGCACGTACATGTGCGTGCATGCGCGTGCGTGCGTGTGTACGTACACGTGCGTGCGTCCATGCGTGGGAACTTACACGTGCGTGCATGCGTGCGTGTGTTCGTGTGTGTGCACGTACACGTGCGTGCATGCGTGCGTGCGTCCGTGTGTGTGCACGTACACGTGCGTGCGTGTGTGCACGCGTGTGTGCACGCGTGTGCAGGTACACGTTCGTTCGTGCGTGCGTGCGTGCGTGTGCAGGTACACGTGTGTGCATGTGTACGTGCCTGTGTACGTGCGTTTGTGTGCAGGTACACGTGCGTGCGTGCGTGCATGTGTGCGTGCGTGCATGCATGAGTGTGTGCGTGCGTGTGCAAGTACACGTGCGTGCGTGCGTGCGTGCGTGCGTACATCGTACTAGTGTTGCCGCCTATCGTGGAGTTATGTACTATTCGCTAACTCGAGTTAAGGTAATTCGAATTAGCTTAACCTCGATCGACTGGCGAGGTTAAGCTAACTCGAGTTAACGCTAACTCGAGTTAACGCTAACTCGAGTTAAGGCCCCGTGTAGACGCTTAACTCGAGTTAAGCGTCGTCGTGTAGACGAGGCTATAGGGTCTATATCAGTATATATGTACCCCAGGGTACTGCCGGAACTAGCTCTAATACTATATATAGTATAGCCCGCGTACAGTGACTGCGGGCTATAGTACTAGAGCTATGCCGGAACGTACCCTGGTAACTATCTGATATGGTTAGGGTTCGGGTTAGGGAGTAGGCGTAGGCGGCTCCCTAGACTCGTTAGTGGAGTAGGCGAGGTACGGTCCGGCATATTAGATAGTACCAGGGTATGTTCCGTCAGTACCCTGGGGTACATAGACCCTCTCAGCAATAGTAGGGTGTTGGTTTGCGTTTTTAGCTCATCTGACATAGTCAGATGCAGCTTGTAGAATCGCATGATCGTCCGTCCGTCCGGTCGTACAGTTGGGCACAAATTTACACCGATCGACGTACCGCGTCGATATCGGCACATGGGGGGGATCGTCTCACAACGAGTTGGGCTGTCGAAGCTGCGGGGTCAATAGGTCAAGAGTCAGAGGTTGTAAAAGAAGGGGGAAGATTTTTTAACTAAGGTAGTAGGAAGGAATGCAGATTGCGGCACAAATCTAAACGGCTGACCTAGGCTGTGATAGTCGGGCTGGGCGGCGGTGTGTATAGTCATGGTAGGATAAAGCCCTCATGTGCGAAATTGGAGGTACAGCTGTCAAACGGTCATGGGCACAGGAGTTTTAGAACATTTTCTGAGGTCGATGGTCTGACGGCCACACCGAGCGATTTCGAAATCATTTTTGTTTCAGCCGTGCGATGACTAGCATTTTTATTGGCATTATGTGAAGGACTCATGGGTGAAATTCTACTTTCTGCTGAATGGCGAAGAGTAAGTGTCAGCATACCTTTTTGACTCAGAGGAGGACTTAAATGGGATTTGTTGCTGTCTGTAGAAGAATTTGGACTGCGGTTGTTTTTGTCAGCTAATCTTATCTGCCTGCCGACTCGTCTCGATGGCTCATGTCAGTGAAATTTAAAGTGAATATTTAATTAAGAATGGTTTTTTGCTCGTTAAACTGTAGTAATTTATTTATGGCATTCTGTTACTGGTTAGTAGTTTCTGTAGCCCTGTTCACTAGAAACTTTAGTTTGATTACTCGGAGCGAACTCGAGCAACCCGATTAAAGTTTCGTGAGTCTTGCCAGTGTAGGACCAGTGATAACTCGCGCATAACTGGTTTGCGAAGTTTGCAGTTAGGCCGGTGCCTTCTGAAAACTGTTTCTCGAGTTTGTTGGTTTGAATATCGGCCAATCAATGCGGTTTTGTTGAGTATGTGCATCCTGCCTTGATAGACAAACATGGCATTGATAATCTGATCAGTGAGTACCAGTGAATCGGAGTTTTGTCGATTTGTCGGTTTTTGCTCTGAGTTTGTTGAGTTTGCAAACTAAAGTTTGCTTTGTGGTAGGACAGGGATTTAAGTGTGCCTGCCAGTGGGCTATGCCGTGCATTGTTTGGCGCGTCTGCTGGAGTTTTTTGCTTAATTGGTTACAGGTGGCCAGCTTCTATTGCCCAGCTGTAGGCTTTGTGTAGCGTAAATGGCTCATGTGTGCTTACCTTTCTGTCTGGTGAGATGTTGTTGCTACTATGACTATGATGGGAGCCTTTCCTCTTTCCTTCTGAGACCGTTAACGTACGGCGCCATCTCGTGTGCACTTTATACGATCCACCGAACATTCTTTTGAGAGTTCTGATTTACAGCTGTGTTCCACTGTTTTCGCGTGTATGTAAATTTGGGATGGGGTTTACTAGAATCCCACCACTCCACCACAGAGTCACCGCAGTAGACGTTAGATGAGCGCTGTCGCTCTGCGGCACTTGTTATTGGATATTCTAACCATCCATGCTCACGCACGCCTATGTGCCTCGATCATAAGTTCTGTTATGGCTTCCCTCTCGGTGGCAGTGACTGTTGAGCGGGTAACGGGGTTCGAATGTTCGATCCGATAGTTTGACTCATGAGTGAAAGGCTACAGGTGCAGAGCTATATGTCGTACATATGGTCGTGCATGTGGCGTGGATGTCGGCCGTCGCAATATCTTCCCTCTTCCTCCTCCCTAGATAGTAAATAAATCATTTCTCAATCCTACTCTTACGTTGAGTTACCTATAGTTTATTAGTAATACTAATAGTTATTGAGCTTAATACTAATAGTATCTATCTCCTCCCCTACCTTCTCTTCTTCCCCCATCTACTCCTCTCCGCACCGCCATTGCCCTTCTCAATCTGTTGCTTCTTTAATTCCTCGCTGTGCATTCACCTCAACCACACTCGATCCTAGCTTCCTTAATTCCAGTCCTTCCACTTTTTCCACCTTTCCAAATCATTCTCCTACATCTTTGTCCTCTCTGCCTCTCTTCAATTCTTCCTGATTTTCACAGGACCTATACTTTTCAGCCTATTCTGTGTCTCATCTACGTTTCTTTCATCCTCTCCTTCCTTTCCTCCCCAGGTGGCCCCGGGGGGGGGGGGGTTATGGCCCCAAGACACACGTAAACTTGATCAGGATAGAGATCAAGAGTAGATAATATAACTAGAGATGATAGAGATGTATACATCAATAGTCCATAATAGAAAATAGAGATTAGTCTCTATAATGAGATAATCGTGATATAATGATATAATGATATAATAGACTCTATAATAGAGATTATAGTCTCATAATAGTCTCTATTATGGACTCTTGGTATACATCAAGCTATGAAAACAGCATGACTGTGTTGGGATTGTCAAAAGTAAACACAGTTGGAAATCAAGGCACGTTGATTAGGCAATCGAGGCATGTCAGATTTATGGGTATGTCGCAAATTAGCTTCAGCTTTGAGGCACGTGAGACCCAACATGCAATAAAGGTCTGGGGAGGCACAGACCACAAAAAGTCATTCATGTGATACTCAAGCTTTATAAACCAATTTAATTAATTTTTTTTAGGTAAGGTAGGCCTATTGGCATTGCAACTGGGCTTTGTGGTAATGGACAAGGAGAAATACGTAGCAAAGAACTGGAAACAGTGCACCCCTGCGGAGTTTCTTCGAATGACAAACTTGCAAAAGGGTAGATATCTGGCATATGAAGAACCACCTAAACATGTGTCAGAAGCTCGGGCACAAAGTTTATCAAGGTATGACATATACATGTATGATATATATATTACCAGAAATAAATTATGCAAATGTCTTATTAACTTGCTCTCGGCAGTATACCAAGAGATAAGTTGAGCATACGTGTTTTTACGTGTACGTTTGAAGAATCAAACATATTTTTTCAACGAAAAGTTAGTTGTGAAATGTAAATTACCTCCGGTACATTATTTTGGGTAACCTGTAGTACATGAAAAATAATCTACATTAATTTCAGAGTTAAAAACTGGAAAAAGATCAATGTAACAGAGGAAATCGAAATGCCTAGTGTAGATCTTGGGACCAGGTTTCATATGCACCTAAGTGAGGAAGAAGCAAAACAAAGGTATTTAAAAGGGATTTGTCGTCAAGAGAGAAAGTGTGGGGGGACAGGGTGAGAGACACTGGGGGAGAGAGAGAGAGAGAGAGAGAGAGAGAGAGAGAGAGAGAGGGAGAGAGAGAGAGAGAGACAGAGAGCAAAAGTGAGAGTAAGAAAGCATGAAAGGGAAAGTGAGAAAGAAAGAGCAAAAAAGAGCGAGAGGGAGAAAGTGAGCAAGAGAGAAGCGAAGTGATGTAGGAAGACTGTAAATGAAAAAGATGGAAACTTGTGCAGAGACAAAAGTGTAGCATAAAATGAAGGAGAAATTAGAAATTTGGGAGGGGAGTGAAATAGGGCCATGCATGTACGCGAATACTCCATCCCGCTGCCATAAACTGCTCGAATCAGAAGCAAAGACGTGGTGAACATACAATAGAAATAGAAGGCGTAAAATTTGTATAATCCGGTGAGAAATGCGACGAGTTTGCACGGCACGACGACGATAGCCATTCACTCTATCCAGCGTCACTGTTGTGTTGGTAGGGCAATAGAGGCAGGTCGCAGACTCGTGAACGCTAGGTCACGCTACATCGCGTGCAAGTCCCAGGACATCAGTCAGCTGATCAGTAGCCAGCCGACAGTACTGAAGGCTATCCGGCTAGAGAGTTTGCTCCCGCCCCACCCGCAGTCCTCCTGCCCACCTACACTGCTGACCCTTGCCCAGCAAGCACGTGTGGAGGAACTACTCGAGGACACGCAGGGCCTGACCACGAACAGACAGCTGTGAAAAAAATGTTTCGTATCTGTTAGATTTACGATTTTATTTCGTTTTCCGTCCACGCGAGTTTCGGGTAACAATTACGGAACAAAAACATTCAAATATCATATATACATGTGTGTAAATATAAAATGCATTCGATAATCACTTCTTGGTAATTTTGATAATAATATAGACGGTAGACCTATGTACTTCTACCCGATTTTAAAGGCATACTAGGCCCATTGATTATGCAATGTTGACGAATGCTAGAGTAACTGGCACCTTGTGTAGTTAATAAGTACATAACCTTAATAGCCAAACGCGTATTAGGGTATCCAATATCACTGCTGGTTACATTAAAAGCAAGACTTGAAATCGGTTGTTGATATTCATTTACGTGCCGTAAATGTCATCCAGGAGTCAAGCGATGGCGTAAACATTTGTTTTGGACGCCAGATCAAATGGAGGTGTCAGAGGTGTAACCACGGCCATGGACTAAACATGGTAATGGAGTAAAACACACGTACTAATCACGGATGCACATGGACAGCCCTGACAAAAAGTTCCTTATCACGAGCGTCCGTGTTTACAAAATCACTGATGATAGCATTGCGTACGCCCGAGCATGCGTGCGAAAATGTCCGGTGCACTACAAATCTGTATCACACCCGCTTCACCGGCAGCGGTTTGAAACTGTAAACAACTGATTTCTTGGACTGCGGATTTCAATTAGACATTTCTTAGTAACCAGCAGTGATATTGGACAAACTAATACGCGTTTGGATGTAAGGTTATGTACTTATTAACTACACAAGGTGCCAGTTACTCTAGCATTCGTCAACATTGCATAATCCTAGGGCCTAGTATGCCTTTAAGTAAGAACCCTGTGGGCTGGCTAGAATAGACTGACTGATATATCTATAAGTTTCATTTTTGCATATCAACACATCAAGACAAGATTCATTTGTGTTATTAAATCACTGAACATAATTTCAACTAACATACGAATTACAGATGCCCTGCTTTTTACTTAATTTGTTATATTCTCCACAAATATTTGGCAATAATGACATAAATTATAGCTAATATATCCGCTATTATACGAGATTATGGATTATATTAACAACTTATAGATGAGATCAATTATCCAACAACTAATTACAATTTGCAATTAACTTAAAATTTCATTTGAAATTACACTGAATTTGATATGTTTAGCTATAGACACATGCTTACCTTGTACTAAAAATATTACAAATTTAACTGCTCACTGTCATCCAGACCTGATGCAGAAATACAGTACGGTGACATACAGTGTAAGTTAAGTGTTGTACAGGGTGCGAAATTAACGGGAGTCCGGAGTCAAATACTCTCTGATTTACTGTCAGACTCCCTGATTTGACATATGCAGGAGTCCGTGCGACTCCCTGAAAATTCTGCCATACAGGATACTAACTAGTTTGTTCCAGAACACGGCCTCGCGGAAGTACCGTATTTTTTCAGCTAATATCCAAAGAAAATTTGGCAGACGTGCAGCTGCATGAATATTAAAAACAAGCACATGAATTATTGTTAATATCTTTAATTTTAAACCTCAGACTGCGGACTCCCTCATTTTGCTGCGGACTCCCTGTTTTTGAGGGTAGGGAGTCCGTTGGACTCCCGTGTTCAAAAGTTAATTTCTACCCCTGTTGTAGCACTTGTTATATATTTATACTTGGACTTTGAACTAGTCAACGCTGTGCATACCCTGTTGTTACCTGGCTGGGGTGGCTGCTATGCAGGCACTATGTGTGTATTCTATAGTTGGAACAAACCTGCTATTTTTTGTTAATGAATGGTTACTGAATGATGTAATCAATTGGTATACTTATACAATGGTGATTAATACCGTAACAAAGTTCACCTTATTGTTGTCTGGGCAATCACTGGATACTAATAAGACTACTAATAATGGTACTGGCAAGAACCAATACGTGATAAGCTCTGATACATATGCTTCGTCTGTATACAGACACAATATATATATAGATGTAGATATATAGATATATGTGTGTGTGAGTTGGCTAGTCTTTCGGGTCTTTACACTGCACACAGTCCTGCATGTCCACTTTATAATCTTCAACCTGAACTGTCGACTCAAAGACGTTGAATTCGTACTTCACCCTGCGCTGCGCTTGCTTGAGCACCTTCCTCGGATCTGAATCAGGATCTAAATAAAACAGCCACTACAGTTAATGCATTGTCAATGAGTCAGTGGAGACTCCATTGCTTTTTACAATTATTTTATAATTGGGGGAACTCAAAAGGAATGACGACACTTACACTTGAACATATGTCGTAATGTTTTTTATAAGCTAAAGAATGAGCTACGGGATGGCCTGTGTAACTATATAAGTGCATTTACCTATTGCCAAATGGGCGGACATTGCCACCTTGTTCATGGTCAAAGCCCATATCCTCAAGTTGTGAACCTCCATGACTCCAGGCACAGATGATAGCAGGTTCTTCACATCATTAAACTCTATACCTCGTGGGGCACCTGAATCGCAAGAAAAGAAATTACATTGTTTCTAATGTCGTATAACAGCGAACGAGTTTGGCACTCGCCCCTATATATATATATATCTAGCTATTTATATAATATAGATCTCTATATTATACACTCCTGGTAATATGATATGCACTTAACCAAAAGAGGACCTTAACGGCTCATAGGTTGCAAGTAAATTTTGTAGAGATCTGAAAATAATTAAGCATCGAGGCGTGTTAATTCAATTGGCAGATAGATTAACTTATTAACCACATTACTTTGCCTTAGCATTGTACTTGAACAACTTGGCAGAGACTGAGCAGTTCAACCCTCAGCAATTTGAAGTTCATGTTAATATTCAGTGTATAGTGTGATGGGCAGGAAACCCATCACCAGTGCGAAATTGGAGGTCACAGGTCAAAGGGCAGTGGGGGAAAGGTCAGATATCAGACATTTTCTGAGGACAGGGCTTAATGGACAGAGTGAACAACTTTTTTGTTTCAGTGCTGACCTACCATTTTTATCACTTTATTGAAAGGACCATGAAATGTGCTTTCCACTGACGTGCGAAGAGTAACTGTCTGATCACCTTTTGACCCTCAAGAGGAGGGTTAAAGGGACTACGTCACGAATTTTCTATGGAAAAATTTGTAAAAAAAAAATTGCCATTTTTTTACATTAAAAGTAAGAACTAACGTTACTAAATATATCCTCAAACTCTCACCTGATAAAAATGTTTTTACGTTGGTTAAATTTGCAAAAATCTAGACGATTTGGTAATATCTGTTGTCTAACACTATTCCCCCAGTACTGTTCAGATACTGGCGTCTCTCTGTTTTTCACCGGCAAATTAGGGCATATAAAGAAGGTATATAAGCATAAAAAGTAAACAGAAACACTAATTGTATTTTCATACATTTTATTTTGTACAAATAACACACAAATATATACTGCTTGATGGTGCTAGAAATTCGTGACGTATTCACTTTAAGATTATGCTATTTACTGAGAATGAGGGAATGATGTTTGCTGTATGCAAGAGTTTCTTCACTAATCATTACATG